CTGGCAGCTATTTACGGGTGAGTGATATACATGCTATACACTGGCAGCTATTTACGGGTGAGTGATATACATGCTATACACTGGCAGCTATTTACGGGTGTATGATATTCATGCTATACACTGTCAGCTATTTACGGGTGTATGATATACATGCTATACACTGTCAGCTATTTACGGGTGTATGATGTACATGCTATACACTGTCACTGTCAGCTATTTACGGGTGAGTGATATACATGCTATACACTGGCAGCTATTTACGGGTGAGTGATATACATGCTATACACTGGCAGCTATTTACGGGTGAGTGATATACATGCTATACACTGGCAGCTATTTACGGGTGTATGATATTCATGCTATACACTGTCAGCTATTTACGGGTGTATGATATTCATGCTATACACTGTCAGCTATTTACGGGTGTATGATATACATGCTATACACTGTCAGCTATTTACGGGTGTATGATGTACATGCTATACACTGTCACTGTCAGCTATTTACGGGTGAGTGATATACATGCTATACACTGGCAGCTATTTACGGGTGTATGATATACATGCTATACACTGTCAGCTATTTACGGGTGAGTGATATACATGCTATACACTGTCTGCTATTTACGGGTGTATGATATACATGCTATACACTGTCACTGTCAGCTATTTACGGGTGTATGATATACATGCTATACACTGTCAGCTATTTACGGGTGTATGATATACATGCTATACACTGTCACTGTCAGCTATTTACGGGTGAGTGATATACATGCTATACACTGTCAGCTATTTACTGGTGAGTGATATACACGCTATACACTGTCAGCTATTTACGGGTGTATGATATACATGCATACACTGGCAGCTATTTACGGGTGTATGATGTACACGCTATACACTGGCAGCTATTTACGGGTGTATGATATACATGCTATACACTGTCAGCTATTTACGGGTGGGTGATATTCATGCAATACACTGTCAGCTATTTACGGGTGTATGATATACATGCTATACACTGTCAGCTATTTACGGGTGGGTGATATTCATGCTATACACTGTCAGCTATTTACGGGTGTATGATATACATGCTATACACTGTCACTGTCAGCTATTTACGGGTGAGTGATATACATGCTATACACTGGCAGCTATTTACGGGTGTATGATATACATGCATACACTGTCAGCTATTTACGGGTGTATGATGTACATGCTATACACTGTCACTGTCAGCTATTTACGGGTGAGTGATATACATGCTATACACTGGCAGCTATTTACGGGTGAGTGATATACATGCTATACACTGGCAGCTATTTACGGGTGAGTGATATACATGCTATACACCGTCAGCTATTTACGGGTGTATGATATACATGCTATACACTGTCACTGTCAGCTATTTACGGGTGAGTGATATACATGCTATACACTGTCAGCTATTTACGGGTGAGTGATATACATGCTATACACTGTGAGCTATTTACGGGTGTATGATATACATGCTATACACTGTCAGCTATTTACGGGTGGGTGATATTCATGCTATACACTGTCAGCTATTTACGGGTGTATGATATACATGCTATACACTGGAAGCTATTTACGGGTGTATGATATACATGCTATACACTGTCACTGTCAGCTATTTACGGGTGAGTGATATACATGCTATACACTGTCAGCTATTTACGGGTGTATGATATACATGCATACACTGTCAGCTATTTACGGGTGTATGATGTACATGCTATACACTGTCACTGTCAGCTATTTACGGGTGAGTGATATACATGCTATACACTGTCTGCTATTTACGGGTGAGTGATATACATGCTATACACTGGCAGCTATTTACGGGTGAGTGATATACATGCTATACACTGTCAGCTATTTACGGGTGTATGATATACATGCTATACACTGTCACTGTCAGCTATTTACGGGTGAGTGATATACATGCTATACACTGTCAGCTATTTACGGGTGTATGATATACATGCTATACACTGTCACTGTCAGCTATTTACGGGTGAGTGATATACATGCTATACACTGTCAGCTATTTACGGGTGAGTGATATACATGCTATACACTGTCAGCTATTTACGGGTGTATGATATACATGCTATACACTGTCACTGTCAGCTATTTACGGGTGTATGATATACATGCTATACACTGTCAGCTATTTACGGGTGAGTGATATACATGCTATACACTGTCAGCTATTTACGGGTGTATGATATACATGCATACACTGGCAGCTATTTACGGGTGTATGATATACATGCATACACTGGCAGCTATTTACGGGTGTATGATGTACAAGCTATACACTGGCAGCTATTTACGGGTGTATGATATACATGCTATACACTGTCAGCTATGTACGGGTGGGTGATATTCATGCTATACACTGTCAGCTATTTACGGGTGTATGATATACATGCTATACACTGTCAGCTATTTACGGGTGAGTGATATACATGCTATACACTGTCAGCTATTTACGGGTGTATGATATACATGCATACACTGGCAGCTATTTACGGGTGAGTGATATACATGCTATACACTGTCAGCTATTTACGGGTGAGTGATATACATGCTATACACTGTCAGCTATTTACGGGTGTATGATATACATGCATACACTGGCAGCTATTTACGGGTGTATGGTATACATGCATACACTGGCAGCTATTTACGGGTGTATGATGTACACGCTATACACTGGCAGCTATTTACGGGTGTATGATATACATGCAAGAGAACACAGACTTTGTAGGATTTGTAAAACTGATTGTACTGAAGATGAATATCACTTTTTATGTGTATGTCCAGTGTATGAAGATTTAAGAGCAAAATATCTAAATAACTATTTCTACCGCAACCCAAACGGTAACAAATTTTGTAAATTAATGACTTGTGATTGTACAGAAACTATTAGAAATCTATCAATGTTCATTTATCATGCCATGAAACTAAGAAAATGTATGAATTTGTAACACGCCCCACACATTGTACTATAGGCCTTTGGCTATAGCTATTTACGGGTGTATGATGTACATGCTATACACTGTCACTGTCAGCTATTTACGGGTGAGTGATATACATGCTATACACTGGCAGCTATTTACGGGTGAGTGATATACATGCTATACACTGGCAGCTATTTACGGGTGAGTGATATACATGCTATACACTGGCAGCTATTTACGGGTGCATGATATTCATGCTATACACTGTCAGCTATTTACGGGTGTATGATATACATGCTATACACTGTCAGCTATTTACGGGTGTATGATGTACATGCTATACACTGTCACTGTCAGCTATTTACGGGTGAGTGATATACATGCTATACACTGGCAGCTATTTACGGGTGAGTGATATACATGCTATACACTGGCAGTTATTTACGGGTGAGTGATATACATGCTATACACTGGCAGCTATTTACGGGTGTATGATATTCATGCTATACACTGTCAGCTATTTACGGGTGTATGATATTCATGCTATACACTGTCAGCTATTTACGGGTGTATGATATACATGCTATACACTGTCAGCTATTTACGGGTGTATGATGTACATGCTATACACTGTCACTGTCAGCTATTTACGGGTGAGTGATATACATGCTATACACTGTCAGCTATTTACGGGTGTATGATATACATGCTATACACTGGCAGCTATTTACGGGTGAGTGATATACATGCTATACACTGGCAGCTATTTACGGGTGTATGATATACATGCTATACACTGTCACTGTCAGCTATTTACGGGTGAGTGATATACATGCTATACACTGTCAGCTATTTACGGGTGTATGATATACATGCTATACACTGTCACTGTCAGCTATTTACGGGTGAGTGATATACATGCTATACACTGTCAGCTATTTACGGGTGAGTGATATACACGCTATACACTGTCAGCTATTTACGGGTGTATGATATACATGCATACACTGGCAGCTATTTACGGGTGTATGATGTACACGCTATACACTGGCAGCTATTTACGGGTGTATGATATACATGCTATACACTGTCAGCTATTTACGGGTGGGTGATATTCATGCAATACACTGTCAGCTATTTACGGGTGTATGATATACATGCTATACACTGTCAGCTATTTACGGGTGGGTGATATTCATGCTATACACTGTCAGCTATTTACGGGTGTATGATATACATGCTATACACTGTCACTGTCAGCTATTTACGGGTGAGTGATATACATGCTATACACTGTCAGCTATTTACGGATGGATAATATACATGCTATACACTGGCAGCTATTGACGGGTGTATCATAAACATGCTATACACTGTCAGCTATTCACGGTATGTGTGATATAAATGCTATACACTGTGAGCTATTTACGGGTGGGTGATATACATGCTATACACTGTCAGCTATTTACGGGTGTATGATATACATGCTATACACTGTCAGCTATTTACGGGTGTATGATATACATGCTATACACTGTCAGCTATTAACGGGTGTATGATGTACACGCTATACACTGTCAGCTATTTACGGGTGTATGATATACATGCTATACACTGTCAGCTATTTACGGGTGTATGATATAAATGCTATACACTGGCAGCTATTTACGGGTGTATCATATACATGCTATACACTGTCAGCTATTTACGGGTGTATCATATACATGCTATACACTGTCAGCTATTTACGGGTGTATGATATACATGCTATACACTGTCAGCTATTTACGGGTGTATGATATACATGCTATACACTGTCAGCTATTTACGGGTGTATGATATACATGCTATACACTGTCAGCTATTTACGGGTGTATGATATAAATGCTATACACTGTCAGCTATTTACGGGTGTATCATATACATGCTATACACTGTCAGCTATTTACGGGTGTATGATATAAGTGCTATACACTGGCAGCTATTTACGGGTGTATGATATTTTCAGCTGTAAGGACGCTACCCACCCCTCCACACTTCCGGTAGCCAGCGTCATCATCTGTTTCCACAACGAGGCTTGGTCCGTGCTGCTGAGGTCCGTTCACAGCATCCTCGACAGGTCGCCTCCCCACCTGCTAAGGGAGATAATCCTTGTGGACGACTTATCCTCGATGGGTAAGAATCATAACTCCATGCACGAGGACTGAAGAGAATGAGGTACAGAATCTAGCATCACATCGACGACGTCACAGCCGACATTGTATAACGACGTGCCTCCATAGTCTCTGCTGTGTCTTTGTGAGATAACGGTGTTCATTATTCGCGGTGACTGTAGAATAGTTTTACGTCACTGTTTGCAATATTCCAGCAACAGGTCATCAGACACGGGCTTCGAACCTGAACTCTTCAACCACCACGCTACCGAACCACCCCCGGGTGAAGTGATCGACCACTGACATGCATGTCGCTTGTGTGTCATGGAGCTATGAGGGCAGACCATTCACCCATGCATCATGTCTGTAGCAATGCTGTAGAAACGAGGATGTGTGTATCCTCATCATTTTACATGTAACATCAGACACCTGCAGACATCTTAACAACATGTTACATGTAACTCAGACGCCTTAACAATATGTTACATGTAACTTCAGACACCTGCATGCTCTCCTGAACGTGTTACATGTTACTTCAGACACCTGCAAACACCTTTACACCATGTTACATTTTCCTTCAGGCCACCTGAAAGCTCCCCTTGACCGCTACATGGCGGACTACCCGAAGGTGAAGATTGTCCGAGCGGCCCGGCGGGAGGGTCTGACCAGGGGCCGGCTGCTGGGCTATGACCAGGCCCAGGGTCCAGTCCTCATCTTCCTCGACTCCCACATCGAGTGTTTCCCAGGTAGGAACCAACAATACCACTTTGTCTGACCGCTTTGTCTGACCGCTTTGTCTGACTGCTTTGTCTGACCGCTTTGTCTGACTGCTTTGTCTGACCGCTTTGTCTGACCGCTTTGTCTGAATGCTTTGTCTGACCGCTTTGTCTGACCGCTTTGTCTGACTGCTTTGTCTGACCGCTTTGTCTGACTGCTTTGTCTGACCTCTTTGTCTGACTGCTTTGTCTGACCGCTTTGTCTGACTGCTTTGTCTGACTGCTTTGTCTGACTGCTTTGTCTGACTGCTTTGTCTGACTGCTTTGTCTGACTGCTTTGTCAGTTATAATTGCTGCCAGTACATACTGGGACCCGTGAAGATCCGGGGTAGAATAGGTCCTCAGCAACCCATGCTTGTCGTAAAGGGCGACTAACGGGATCGGGTGGTCATGCTCGCTCACTTGGTTGGTGTAAGTCATCGTATCCAAATAGCGTGGATCGATGCTCATCATGTCATTCACTGGATTGTCTGGCCCAGACTCGATTATTTACAGACCGCCGTCATATAGTTGGAATATTGCTAAATGCGGCGTTAAACAACAAACAAACAAAACGATGAATTTTAGACCGGGTTTCCTAGGTGTACACTATCAAAGCACATCCCTTTGACTGTTGTAGCAAGCCCATGTGTATCCATTTGTTTTGTCTGTGCTGGCAATCTATTTTATTTAGCATTTGTCTATAAAATTAATTGACGTGATATGTAAGTATATAGCGTCAGTCCGGAGCACATCCTCCTCGTGTGGGGGCGGCAGGGGAGCCTCGTGGTGAAATCGTTCGCTCGACACGGCGAAGACCCATTCAGGATTCTACACATGGGTACAATGTGTACAGGCCATTTCTGGTGTCCCCCGCCGTGATATTGATTGTGTATTGCTAAAGGCAACGTAAAACTATACACACTCACTTCACCTCGTGTGTCCCCAGGGTGGCTGGAGCCCCTCCTGACTAAGATAGCCGCTGACCCCCGGGCAGTAGCGTTCCCCGTCATCCCGGTCATCAGCAGACTGGACATGGGCGTGCGGAACGTCATGAGCCTGGCGGTGGGCAAGTTCAAGTGGAACGGCTTGACCTTCACCTGGGGTGGAATGACCGGCAAGGAGAGCGCCAGGAGGAAGGAGAAGTACGAGCCGGTCAGGTCAGTCAAGCCGCCGCCTCATCTGTGTTCATAGAGACTAGACCCGTGAAGATCCGGGGTAGAATACGTCTTCAGCAACCTATGCTTGTCATAAGAGGCGGCTAAGGGGATCGGGTGGTCAGGCTCGCTGACTTGGTTGATGCATGTCATCGTATCTCGATTGAGTGAATCGATGCTCATGATGTCAATCACTGGATTTTCTGGTCCAGACTCGATTATTTACAGACCGCCGTCATATAGCTGGCCTATTGCTGAGTACGACGTTAAACAAACAAACAAACATCATGACTAGTTCATGCTTTTTGTCAAATACGATGTATATATCATCGAGTGACGATATGATTTTCAGCCTGAAATAGTATATTTAAAGAACATTTTCGAAGATTTGTCAACAGCTTGTCAAGTTCATCATTAAAACTTAAACAATAACACGCAAAAGTATGAATTTTTATAATTTTCAATATTTATTGTTTAGTCTTCATATTTGGAAGGATATGAAACATTAGAATTATATACTTTGTGGCGCACCATTGCGGCAGCGCACGAATACATTTTTACAACATAGCGGTAACCATGGCGATGACAAGTGTCCCGCTTCGTCGCCAGTTTGTGGCACTGACGTCCAACAAGAACGCAACAGACAGGAAGGTGTTCGTTTGTCAGAAAGTTGTAAGACATCAGTCAGTCAGTAACACCAGGGGAAAGGTTGTTACTCATCTTGTTTTGTTCCGGATTTACGCAAGTAGACGAATTAACTAGTGAAAAAACTGGTTTTCAGTTTTATAAAAGTGAATATGACTTTTGATGAAAATAAGACTTATTCTTTTTATATAACTGCATATGTAGCTCTCATATATGCGTCGTACTTCTATGATGAATGATGTTATGGTTGGTTGGTTGGTTGGTTGATTTACGCCGCACTCAGCAATATTTCCGTTTTATGACGGCAGTCTGTAAATAATCGAGTTTGGACCAGACAATCCAGTGATTGATATCATGTGCATCGATGCACGCAATTGGGATCGTTGACATGCATCAACCAAGTCAGTGAGCCTGACCACCCGATCCCGTTAGTCGCCTCTTACGACAAGCATAGTCACATGCATGGTTTGCTGAAGACCTATTCTACCCCGGATCTTCACGGGTCGAATGATGTTATGTGTCTGTGTGTGTTCCGTAGATTCCGGGTGTGTCCGGCAGATTGTCGTGCTACATACTGAGATCCATCTGTTATTGTTCTCTAGATCCTGGGTGTGTCCGGCACATACTGAGATCCATCTGTTATTGTTCTCTAGATCCTGGGTGTGTCCGGCACATACTGAGATCCATCTGTTATTGTTCTCTAAATCCCGGGTGTGTCCGGCACATACTGAGATCCATCTGTTATTGTTCTCTAGATCCTGGGTGTGTCCGGCACATACTGAGATCCATCTGTTATTGTTCTCTAGATCCTGGGTGTGTCCGGCACATACTGAGATCCATCTGTTATTGTTCTCTAAATCCCGCGTGTGTCCGGCACATACTGAGATCCATCTGTTATTGTTCTCTAGATCCTGGGTGTGTCCGGCACATACTGAGATCCATCTGTTATTGTTCTCTAGATCCTGGGTGTGTCCGGCACATACTGAGATCCATCTGTTATTGTTCTCTAGATCCCGGGTGTGTCCTGCTACATACTGAGATCCATCTGTTATTGTTCTCTAGATCCTGGGTGTGTCCGGCACATACTGAGATCCATCTGTTATTGTTCTCTAAATCCCGGGTGTGTCCGGCACATACTGAGATCCATCTGTTATTGTTCTCTAGATCCTGGGTGTGTCCGGCACATACTGAGATCCATCTGTTATTGTTCTCTAGATCCTGGGTGTGTCCGGCACATACTGAGATCCATCTGTTATTGTTCTCTAGATCCCGGGTGTGTCCTGCTACATACTGAGATCCATCTGTTATTGTTCTCTAGATCCTGGGTGTGTCCGGCACATACTGAGATCCATCTGTTATTGTTCTCTAAATCCCGGGTGTGTCCGGCACATACTGAGATCCATCTGTTATTGTTCTCTAGATCCTGGGTGTGTCCGGCACATACTGAGATCCATCTGTTATTGTTCTCTAGATCCCGGGTGTGTCCTGCTACATACTGAGATCCATCTGTTATTGTTCTCTAGATCCTGGGTGTGTCCGGCACATACTGAGATCCATCTGTTATTGTTCTCTAAATCCCGGGTGTGTCCGGCACATACTGAGATCCATCTGTTATTGTTCTCTAGATCCTGGGTGTGTCCGGCAAATACTGAGATCCATCTGTTATTGTTCTCTAGATCCCGGGTGTGTCCGGCACATACTGAGATCCATCTGTTATTGTTCTCTAAATCCCGGGTGTGTCCGGCACATACTGAGATCCATCTGTTATTGTTCTCTAGATCCTGGGTGTGTCCGGCACATACTGAGATCCATCTGTTATTGTTCTCTAGATCCTGGGTGTGTCCGGCACATACTGAGATCCATCTGTTATTGTTCTCTAGATCCCGGGTGTGTCCTGCTACATACTGAGATCCATCTGTTATTGTTCTCTAGATCCTGGGTGTGTCCGGCACATACTGAGATCCATCTGTTATTGTTCTCTAAATCCCGGGTGTGTCCGGCACATACTGAGATCCATCTGTTATTGTTCTCTAGATCCTGGGTGTGTCCGGCACATACTGAGATCCATCTGTTATTGTTCTCTAGATCCCGGGTGTGTCCTGCTACATACTGAGATCCATCTGTTATTGTTCTCTAGATCCTGGGTGTGTTCGGCACATACTGAGATCCATCTGTTATTGTTCTCTAAATCCCGGGTGTGTCCGGCACATACTGAGATCCATCTGTTATTGTTCTCTAGATCCTGGGTGTGTCCGGCACATACTGAGATCCATCTGTTATTGTTCTCTAGATCCTGGGTGTGTCCGGCACATACTGAGATCCATCTGTTATTGTTCTCTAGATCCCGGGTGTGTCCTGCTACATACTGAGATCCATCTGTTATTGTTCTCTAGATCCTGGGTGTGTCCGGCACATACTGAGATCCATCTGTTATTGTTCTCTAGATCCTGGGTGTGTCCGGCACATACTGAGATCCATCTGTTATTGTTCTCTAGATCCTGGGTGTGTCCGGCACATACTGAGATCCATCTGTTATTGTTCTCTAGATCTTGGGTGTGTCCGGCACATACTGAGATCCATCTGTTATTGTTCCCTAGATCCCGCGTGTGTCCAGCAAATACTGAGATCCATCTGTTATTGTACTCTAGATCCCGCGTGTGTCCAGCAAATACTGAGATCCATCTGTTATTGTTCTCAAGATCCCGGGTGTGTCCAGCAAATACTGAGATCCACCTGTTATTGTTCTCTAGATCCTGGGTGTGTCCGGCACATACTGAGATCCACCTGTTATTGTTCTCTAGATCCCGCGTGTGTCCAGCAAATACTGAGATCCATCTGTTATTGTTCTCTAGATCCCGGGTTGGTCCAGCAAATACTGAGATCCATCTGTTATTGTTCTCTAGATCCTGGGTGTGTCCGGCACATACTGAGATCCACCTGTTATTGTTCTCTAGATCCCGCGTGTGTCCAGCAAATACTGAGATCCATCTGTTATTGTTCTCTAGATCCCGCGTGTGTCCAGCAAATACTGAGATCCTTCTGTTATTGTTCTCTAGATCCTGGGTGTGTCCGGCACATACTGAGATCCACCTGTTATTGTTCTCTAGATCCCGCGTGTGTCCAGCAAATACTGAGATCCATCTGTTATTGTTCTCTAGATCCCGGGTGTGTCCAGCAAATACTGAGATCCATCTGTTATTGTTCTCTAGATCCTGGGTGTGTCCGGCACATACTGAGATCCACCTGTTATTGTTCTCTAGATCCCGCGTGTGTCCAGCAAATACTGAGATCCATCTGTTATTGTTCTCTAGATCCCGGGTGGGTCCAGCAAATACTGAGATCCATCTGTTATTGTTCTCTAGATCCTGGGTGTGTCCGGCACATACTGAGATCCACCTGTTATTGTTCTCTAGATCCCGCGTGTGTCCAGCAAATACTGAGATCCATCTGTTATTGTTCTCTAGATCCCGGGTGGGTCCAGCAAATACTGAGATCCATCTGTTATTGTTCTCTAGATCCTGGGTGTGTCCGGCACATACTGAGATCCACCTGTTATTGTTCTCTAGATCCCGCGTGTGTCCAGCAAATACTGAGATCCATCTGTTATTGTTCTCTAGATCCCGGGTTGGTCCAGCAAATACTGAGATCCATCTGTTATTGTTCTCTAGATCCTGGGTGTGTCCGGCACATACTGAGATCCACCTGTTATTGTTCTCTAGATCCCGCGTGTGTCCGGCACATACTGAGATCCATCTGTTATTGTTCCCTAGATCCCCGACGATGCCAGGCGGCTTGTTCGCGATAGACAAGCAGTGGTTCACGACTCTCGGAACATACGACCCGGGGCTGGACTTCTGGGGTGGTGAGAATGTGGAACTCTCGTTTAAGGTTTGTTATTGCCTGGAATCTCGCGTTATTGCTTGGAATCTCGCGTTATTGTCAGGAATCTCGCGTTATTGCCTATAATCTCGCATTATTGTCTGGAATCTCTCATTATTGCCTGGAATCTCTCATTATTGCCTATAATCTCGATGTATTTCCTATAATCTCGCGTTATTGCCTGGATTCTCACGTTATTGCCTGGAATTTCGTGTCATTGCTTGGAATCTCACGTTGATTTCATGTTGTTTGTCTCCAAAACGTCATGCAGCTGGAATCTCGTGTTTATCAGGCGGGCCACACACAGTGGTGGGTGCAATCCTGGTATTCACGATCAGGCCTTGTTTGAAACAGATGGCTCATAATTTATCTTTTTTTCAGTAAAGCGCAATTTTATCAAATTAAGAGTTGTTTCCCTTGCACTACTGATGACCTGTACTTGTGTGTCGCCAGGCGTGGATGTGTAACGGGTCAGTGGAACTGATCCCCTGTTCCCAAGTGGGGCACATATTTCGGACTGTCAACCCCATCACGTGGCCGAAAGGGGGCGCCATTATGCGGAACTCCATGCGGGTGGCGGAGGTGTGGCTGGACGACTTCAAGGACGTCTTCTACGACTTCTCCTTTCGTAAAAGCGTACGTAGTTTTGTGTGTTGGCACCTTACAAGTAGAGGTGAGGTGAGGCTTGTTGAGCTGAGCTAAGCTGAGCTGAGCTGAGGCGAGGCGAGGGGTGGGGGGAGGAGTTAATGTCGTGTTTAATATTATTACACTAATATTGCGACGTGCATGCACGTGTGTGTGTGGCTGCTTGTACTAGTCCGCACTTATGCCGATTTTATAGTGCCACAGTTTAACATAAACGCCCCACTCAGACACAGCATACTGACCCCGAGCCGACCAATCCTTGTTTTAGCCCCTTAATGCCGAGTGCCAGGCAGGGTAACAACAAGTGCCATCTTTTACCGTCTTTTGGTATGACGCGGTCGGGGATCGATCCCCTCGGGCTTCCGCTCTATCCACTGGGCCACTGAGGCGGTCTCTAATAAGTAGAGCGACAGGATCCAGTCTACAGTTACTCGTGGTCACTACAAGATGATGTGCAGAGCAACCATCATTTCCACCTGGCTCTGTACCCGTGTCGTGATTCAGTGATTACCCTACAGATGGACTGCCGTACGGTGGTAATATATATCATGTATGTGTCGTGGAGATACCCATACAGCGGTGGGGTAACCGAGTATTTACAGCGTTCGCTCGTCACGCCGAAGACCGGGTCCGATTCCCCACTTTGGTACAATGTGTGAAGTCCATTTCTGGTGTCCCCCCGCCGTAATATTACTGGAATATTGGTAAAAGCGGCGTAAAAGCACCCTCACTCACCAATCCAGTAGCAAGGACTACTACAGTGTACTGCATTGTCCGCCCATATGCGTGCTGAAGGGGAAACCCCTAGTTTAAGCAGGATGCGCTGCTGATGTGTTTCATGATCGATGGGTTTGTTGAGTGATAACACTGTGTTTCTGCTGCAGGAGTTCGGGGATGTGAGCGCCAGGAAGAAGCTGCGGGAGTCCCTGCACTGCCACGACTTCAAGTGGTATCTGGACAACGTCATGGACGGACAACTGCCCCCCAACGTCGTGGCCCGCGGAGAGGTGAGACAGATCGCTAAGTATCATCGAGACTGTGCTACTCTACTCTGGGCATAATAAAAAAAATAAAAAACACACACAAAAAAACTAGTTAGTATAACATGAAATATGCATATTGCATTAATCATTAATAAACTAATTACCGTCACTGGTTTTTTCTTTCAGATGCACATCTGCGAGTCGTGATCGCTTTTATTTGTTCCACTGAAAAATGTTTGATTGGGAAATATAACATTTCATCAAAATTTCAGGACCAAATTTATTTTCAATAGAAAACAAAACAAGCCAAAATGGCTTTTATGCAAATTATGTGAGTGGCGGGTACTACCGTCGGGGCATGACATGCTTAATATTCTCCTGAACAGATGATGTCATCACTGAGTTGAGTGATCCATTCATAGGACTTTAACTTGTAGTTTTCCTCTTATGTCCAATGGAGTCTGATTCGTCGGATAATCCCTCGTTGTTCATTCGTCCTGCAGCAGTCGTGGATCATCGTCTTCATCACCTGAGCCTGACTTCCTCATTGTATTTCCATGTGTCATCCATGTTTGGCATCTGTTTGTCTCACAGATCCGGAACACCCAGATGTCCGTGTGTTTGGATAGCATGGCGTCCAAGAGGGTGCCGGAGTTGTACAGTTGCCATGGTGATGGCGGCAATCAGGTACGTGCCTTCAAGGAATGGAATCTTGGCTCAGCTGAAGTCTTCGTGTTGGAAATCACTCGAATGACTATAACACTCAGTCCTCAGTCCTCGCACTGGTGCATAGTCTGTCATTCAGATATATGTATACAAATATATTCAATCTATAATGTTTAGCAAGTCTAGATTACTGCAGTAACAGTCTGAAACGAAGAGAGTGTATGGGCTCCTTTATATCATATCTTTATTGAGATAATTTAACAACTGTTAAATCTGTAAGATATGTTTCTTTCAGAGACTAGATGCTAGTTTAACTGGGAGACAGGGATGTTGATGCAACTGACAGCTGAACGATGCTTGCACGGCTAACCATGGGGAATTCCTGGGAATGATTATTTTCCAGAAACATGTCTGTAAACAAAACGATAGTTTGTTTCCTTTCTATCACAAACAATACATTAAACACGGCGAAGTAGTGACGGGAAAAGAATTCTGTCCATCTCTCTGTGTGGAGAAACTGTCATCTCGGTCGTGTTCAGGCAGTGAACAGCAGATCAGCCCTTGGTGTAGGAGACAATCACAGGGGTCACAGGGGTCGGTTACACAACAGGTGCATGTTGTTCCATGGTGTGGGAGACAATCACAGGGGTCACAGGGGTCGGTTACACAACAGGTGCGTGTTGTTCCATGGTGTGGGAGACAATCACAGGGGTCACAGGGGTCGGTTACAAAACAGGTGCTTGTTGTTCCATGGTGTGGGAGACAATCACAGGGGTCACAGGGGTCGGTTACACAACAGGTGCTTGTTGTTCCATGGTGTGGGAGACAATCACAGGGATCACAGGGGTCGGTTACACAACAGGTGCTTGTTGTTCCATGGTGTGGGAGACAATCACAGGGGTCACAGGGGTCGGTTACACAACAGGTGCTTGTTGTTCCATGATGTGGGAGACAATCACAGGGGTCACAGGGGTCGGTTACACAACAGGTGCTTGTTGTTCCATGGTGTGGGAGACAATCACAGGGGTCACAGGGGTCGGTTACACAACAGGTGCTTGTTGTTCCATGGTGTGGGAGACAATCACATGGGGTCACAGGGGTCGGTTACACAACAGGTGCGTGTTGTTCCATGGTGTGGGAGACAATCACAGGGGTCACAGGGGTCGGTTACACAACAGGTGCTTGTTGTTCCATGATGTGGGAGACAATCACAGGGGTCACAGGGGTCGGTTACACAACAGGTGCTTGTTGTTCCATGGTGTGGGAGTCAATCACAGGGGTCACAGGGGTCGGTTACACAACAGGTGCTTGTTGTTCCATGGTGTGGGAGTCAATCACAGGGGTCACAGGGGTCGGTTACACAACAGGTGCTTGTTGTTCCATGATGTGGGAGACAATCACAGGGGTCACAGTGGTCGGTTACACAACAGGTGCTTGTTGTTCCATGGTTTGGGAGACAATCACAGGGGTCACAGGGGTCGGTTACACAACAGGTGCTTGTTGTTCCATGGTGTGGGAGACAATCACAGGGGTCACAGGGGTCGGTTACACAACAGGTGCTTGTTGTTCCATGGTGTGGGAGACAATCACAGGGGTCACAGGGGTCGGTTACACAACAGGTGCTTGTTGTTCCATGGTGTGGGAGACAATCACAGGGTTCACAGGGGTCGGTTACACAACAGGTGCGTGTTGTTCCATGGTGTGGGAGACAATCACAGGGGTCACAGGGGTCGGTTACACAACAGGTGCGTGTTGTTCCATGGTGTGGGAGACAATCACAGGGGTCACAGGGGTCGGTTACACAACAGGTGGGCGTTGTTCCATGGTGTGGGAGACAATCACAGGGGTCACAGGGGTCGGTTACAAAACAGGTACTTGTTGTTCCATGATGTGGGAGACAATCACAGGGGTCACAGGGGTCGGTTACACAACAGGTGCGTGTTCTTCCATCGTGTGGGAGACAATCACAGGGGTCACAGGGGTCGGTTACACAACAGGTGCTTGTTGTTCCATGGTGTGGGAGACAATCACAGCGGTCACAGGGGTCGGTTACGCAACAGGTGCGTGTTGTTCCATGGTGTGGGAGACAATCACAGGGGTCACAGGGGTCGGTTACACAACAGGTGCTTGTTGTTCCATGGTGTGGGAGAGAATCACAGGGGTCACAGGGGTCGGTTACACAGCAGGTGCTTGTTGTTCCATGGTGTGGGAGACAATCACAGGGGTCACAGGGGTCGGTTACACAACAGGTGCTTGTTGTTACATGATGTGGGAGACAATCACAGGGGTCACAGGGGTCGGTTACACAACAGGTGCTTGTTGTTCCATGGTGTGGGAGACAATCACAGGGGTCACAGGGGTCGGTTACACAGCAGGTGCTGGTTGTTCCATGATGTGGGAGACAATCACAGGGGTCACAGGGGTCGGTTACACAGCAGGTGCTTGTTGTTCCATGGTGTGGGAGACAATCACAGGGGTCACAGGGGTCGGTTACACAGCAGGTGCTTGTTGTTCCATGGTGTGGGAGACAATCAGAGGGTTCACAGGGGTCGGTTACACAACAGGTGCGTGTTGTTCCATGGTGTGGGAGACAATCACAGGGGTCACAGGGGTCGGTTACACAACAGGTGCTTGTTGTTCCATGGTGTGGGAGACAATCACAGCGGTCACAGGGGTCGGTTACACAACAGGTGCTTGTTGTTCCATGGTGTGGGAGACAATCACAGGGGTCACAGGGGTCGGTTACACAACAGGTGCTTGTTGTTCCATGGTGTGGGAGACAATCACAGGGGTCACAGGGGTCGGTTACACAACAGGTGCTTGTTGTTCCATGGTGTGGGAGACAATCACAGGGGTCACAGGGGTCGGTTACACAACAGGTGCTTGTTGTTCCATGGTGTGGGAGACAATCACAGGGGTCACAGGGGTCGGTTACGCAACAGGTGCTTGTTGTTCCATGATGTGGGAGACTATCACAGGGGTCACAGGGGTCGGTTACACAACAGGTGCTTGTTGTTCCATGATGTGGGAGACAATCACAGGGGTCACAGGGGTCGGTTACACAACAGGTGCGTGTTGTTCCATGGTGTGGGAGACAATCACAGGGGTCACAGGGGTCGGTTACACAACAGGTGCGTGTTGTTCCATGGTGTGGGAGACAATCACAGGGGTCACAGGGGTCGGTTACACAACAGGTGCTTGTTGTTCCATGGTGTGGGAGACAATCACAGGGGTCACAGGGGTCGGTTACACAACAGGTGCTTGTTGTTCCATGGTGTGGGAGAGAATCACAGGGGTCACAGGGGTCGGTTACACAACAGGTGCGTGTTGTTCCATGGTGTGGGAGACAATCACAGGGGTCACAGGGGTCGGTTACACAACAGGTGCGTGTTGTTCCATGGTGTGGGAGACAATCACAGGGGTCACAGGGGTCGGTTACACAACAGGTGCTTGTTGTTCCATGGTGTGGGAGACAATCACAGGGGTCACAGGGGTCGGTTACACAACAGGTGCGTGTTGTTCCATGGTGTGGGAGACAATCACAGGGGTCACAGGGGTCGGTTACACAACAGGTACTTGCTGTTCCATGGTGTGGGAGACAATCACAGGGGTCACAGGGGTCGGTTACGCAACAGGTGCTTGTTGTTCCATGATGTGGGAGACTATCACAGGGGTCACAGGGGTCGGTTACACAACAGGTGCTTGTTGTTCCATGATGTGGGAGACAATCACAGGGGTCACAGGGGTCGGTTACACAACAGGTGCGTGTTGTTCCATGGTGTGGGAGACAATCACAGGGGTCACAGGGGTCGGTTACACAACAGGTGCGTGTTGTTCCATGGTGTGGGAGACAATCACAGGGGTCACAGGGGTCGGTTACACAACAGGTGCTTGTTGTTCCATGGTGTGGGAGACAATCACAGGGGTCACAGGGGTCGGTTACACAACAGGTGCTTGTTGTTCCATGGTGTGGGAGAGAATCACAGGGGTCACAGGGGTCGGTTACACAACAGGTGCGTGTTGTTCCATGGTGTGGGAGACAATCACAGGGGTCACAGGGGTCGGTTACACAACAGGTGCGTGTTGTTCCATGGTGTGGGAGACAATCACAGGGGTCACAGGGGTCGGTTACACAACAGGTGCTTGTTGTTCCATGGTGTGGGAGAGAATCACAGGGGTCACAGGGGTCGGTTACGCAACAGGTGCGTGTTGTTCCATGATGTGGGAGACAATCACAGGGGTCACAGGGGTCGGTTACACAACAGGTGCGTGTTGTTCCATGGTGTGGGAGACAATCACAGGGGTCACAGGGGTCGATTACACAACAGGTGCTCTTTGTTCCATGGTGTGGGAGACAATCACAGGGATCACAGGGGTCGGTTACACAACAGGTGCATGTTGTTCCATGGTGTGGGAGACAATCACAGGGGTCACAGGGGTCGGTTACACAACAGGTGCTTGTTGTTCCATGGTGTGGGAGACAATCACAGGGGTCGGTTACACAACAGGTGCTTGTTGTTCCATGGTGTGGGAGACAATCACAGGGGTCACAGGGGTCGGTTACACAACAGGTGCTTGTTGTTCCATGATGTGGGAGACAATCACAGGGGTCACAGGGGTCGGTTACACAACAGGTGCGTGTTGTTCCATGGTGTGGGAGCAATCACAGGGGTCACAGGGGTCGGTTACACAACAGGTGCTTGTTGTTCCATGGTGTGGGAGACAATCACAGGGGTCACAGGGGTCGGTTACGCAACAGGTGCGTGTTGTTCCATGATGTGGGAGACAATCACAGGGGTCACAGGGGTCGGTTACACAACAGGTGCTTGTTGTTCCATGGTGTGGGAGACAATCACAGGGGTCACAGGGGTCGGTTACACAACAGGTGCTTGTTGTTCCATGGTGTGGGAGACAATCACAGGGGTCACAGGGGTCGGTTACACAACAGGTGCTTGTTGTTCCATGGTGTGGGAGACAATCACAGGGGTCACAGGGGTCGGTACGCAACAGGTGCGTGTTGT